TCTCCCCCCCCCCCCCAGCCGCCTGGCAGCTGCAAGGCTAGGCGTGCTGGGGGTGGGGGTGTCTGGCATCATCAGGTGGTGGGGCAGGGCGGGGGGGGGGCTCTGCCCCCAAATGCCTCACTGTGGCTATGGGCCTGGCTGAAACACAGATCAACACGGGATGTAGAAAAGCAGAAAAAATCATCACAACCTCTCTTCCTCCCCCCACCCCATCCAGGCCACCTCAACTTACCTTTAACAGAGGAAACCATACCTCCCTCATTTAGCTCTTTAAAACAAATCTCTAGACCTCTTGCCACATACAGTATAAAGCAGTATGAATGAACCTTTCATGGCAGTAGACTGCCCCCACCATACAACAGCTATCATATAATAACAGCGGGTTAACTAAAATATACCATGGCTATCATCCTCCCCTCTATTTTTAGAAGGATGCAACTTTCCAAAAGGGTTGCAGTTCTTCTGAAATTCTCCAGATGGCACCAAACACTTCCAGTGCCGTTTGAGGAAGTGAAATTAAAAGGAAACCAAAGACTGAAGGGCCAGATAAAATTTCTCACCACCCTTGTTTTGATGAACTGAACACACGGTGAATCAGTTCTGTTAAAAGTAGGTGGGATCATGGCTGCTCCAAACACCAAGAAGCAGGCTCCTGGTAAGATTCTGCGGTCCAAATACTGGCCTGTGAAATACCTGTGTACCTTGTGTACCTTGTACCTACAGCCTCTCCCCACCTCATATATTCTGTGGTTTAAGATCATATATTCTGTGGTTTAAGATTAAGAACTGTTCCTTCTTCCATCTTATTTCAGCTGATCAATTTTTTTAAAAGTCAAAGTCTGAAATCCAAGTCCCGTCTTACAAAGACAAAGTTCAACCTTGCCTATGTAATTGTAGCTGAAATTCAGCTACAGCTACCTTGAAAAGTGTGTAATTTCGTGTTACCTTTTTCTCCTGCTGTATTATTTAAATTTCATTCATAATTTTGCACATTTATTTAAATTTACTTATGTTAGCACGCTTTTATGCCTGATGGCCAAAGTGAGCTTAGCTGTTGCTCCATCTGCATGCTCTACACATCTGCTCTCTGCTGCTTTTGACTACATTGGTTTCCCCCCCCCCCCCCCCGGCAATCTATACAATATAGAAGACTGCAATTTCTGGTATCACCCATGGGGCTGCAGAAGAAGTGTTCCTGCATGCACCTCCTTTCTGGAATCCAAGAGAACTCAGATTTTTTAATTATGACCATGGGCATTTTAAAGGCGCACATAAGAGCACCATTTTAAGGTACGAACCTCAGAGAATGAGAAGCAAACAAGCACGCTCAGTGTTGCTCACCTGACTGCACAGGCCTGAACAGTCTGAAACCCTGATTAGGAACGCAAGAGCCCTGCCACAAGTAATTCTCAAGCCGTGCTGCCAAATGTTTAAAAAGCCTGCAGTTTAATAATCTAGCCACTCCTGTTTCATAAATCCTGCCTCTCTTCTCTTTCCGGCCCTGTAGCTTGCCAGTCCCTGACAGACAAACACACGGGGCCTATTAAAAGCTTGCCCTAGAATCTTTGCTAAAATTCAGATAACTGAAACATGTGAGTGGTTTATCAGAATTTCACATGACATTACGTTTTGGCAAGTGCAGGTGTTTTACTACTACACCCCCCTCCCGTCCCCAATATTTTTGTTTGAAAAAACCTGGAAAAGTTGTCGGAAGGCTTTCACGACCGGAGTTCATTAGTTGCTGTAGATTTTCCAGGTTGTGTGGCCGAGGTCTTGGCATTGCCAGTCACAGTTACTGGCAAAACGTCAGGTTCTACAATGCCAAGACCACGGCCACACAACCTGGAAAATCTACAGCAACTAACGAACTGGAAAAGATCTGTCAGCCTGCCAACCCAGAGCAGGTTCCAGTCCAGCCGGTAGCCAATGACAAACACCTAGCACCCTTTCAACTCACCTGCCAGGCACAAAATTTTATTCCATTCTTAAGCCAGACGACTCCGTGTTGAATTAACCTTAATTATAATTATCACACACAAACCTTCCGTTCTTCACATTATTTTATGTCATGTCAGAACCCAGAGCAGCCCGAGAAAATAAAGACACTGACCTCTAGAGGAGAGAAGTCATGATTGACGAGGAATGACAGCCCACCAACTGGAACCACAAGAAACTCCACTCTGAAAGTATCATGGTTCCCACCATAGGTAGCCTTAAATTTCATGTAGATCAGGTAGACTGTGGCATACGAACAAGCAACGTAGATAAGCTTGAAAAAGAAAACACCAACATGTGTTTATCAGGCTTTTAGTCTGGATTTCCATCATTTAAACAGAAGCATTTAACATACACAATAAAGGACAGAAAGGATCTTTGTTCGTTGGTTCAAGTGAGCGCCCCCCCCCCCCCCCCGTTTCAGTTACATTCATCAGCATGTTATGCTGGGCAGAAGTTAGAAAGCCATCAACCTCCCCCCCCCGAAAATAAACAAGCCAGTATTAGAAAGGCAAATGGATATTAGAATATTAAGAGATCCTAAATTACCTACTGATTGATGTGAGCTCATCCAGATTTTTAAGGAAAACATGACCTATCAACCCAAAAATATCACTGTCTGAAATTCACTAAAAGCAACGCCCACTCTGTTTGCATCCCACTGATTTCTCCCTACTCACCCAACCAGGAGCCAGTAAAGGTATTTGTGTAGTTGATGTTTACAAGCAACTGACTATGCACACGCTCTATTCTTCTGAGCAGTAAAAAGCAGAAACGGGAAGACTGCAATAACTATGAACAGAAAAACTGCTCTTTGAGTGATGAACTACCCTACATGAGATGTTAATTAACAGACATACCTTTTTAAAAACTACTTGCATTAGTTCTAAGGCTGAAACCAATTGGGAGTAAGTAGTACTGGACTCAGTGGAACTTACTGTCAGGCTCAGTATGCATTTTATGGTTCGCCTGCGATAGAGGAAGGGGGGGGAGAAAGGGGTGTGAATACCAAATGCTTTCATTTTCCTAAATGCTTTGATGTGTTGCAGAGACCTGTTGTTTTGCTTTATTTATGTAGAGGGGTACGTGCTTAGTGGGGTGTGTGCGTAGTTGACTGTTATTTCTGGCGGGGCAAATGCCATGGGGTAATTGGGTCCTGATCTTTAATGCTATTGCACTGCAATCTGCACGAAAGCTCGTGTTCAGTACGGTATTCTTCAACGTCTCAATAAACTAAACTTTCTCCGAAGTGAGTGGTGTTGAGAACTGATTTAACCAGGATTCTGACACTTACTTTGAAGTCAACGTGCTCATTACAGGTCACAAGGGTACTTAAACAGCAGTCCAAGTGAACCCTATGATTCTGGTTTAGGTATCTGAGAAAAGCATTGCAGTGTGGTAGAGTGTCAAACTAGGATCTGAGAGACCCAGCTTCAAATTCCCACTCTGCCATGGAAGGTGGCTGGGTGACCCTGACCAGCCACTCTCTCTCAGCTTAACCTGCCTTGCAGGGTTGTTGTAATGATAAAACAGAGCAGAGAAGTATGTACGCGGCTTTAGGTCCCCGTTGGGGAAAACAAAAGTGTGCTGCCCCTAGCAGTCAGAATCTGTAGAATTCCAGGCGGGGAGTGTGCTGCCCAGCAGGATAAAAAGTTAGCAGTCTGTACTAATGCAGAAAGGCACTGTACCTTTAACATGCTGCCTCATGGGAACTGTAGTTTTAGAAAGCCTTTCGGTCAGGTAGCCCCTTCATTGGTCAGCCTAGGAGCCTTTCCGGTGGCATAATGAGTCTGTGAAAAGCATGTTTATTGCTCTCTTTCCACCTTTTGTTTGGTAATCTCTATGATAAGGAGACAGGGAACCCCACCTCTTTCTCACCATAGCCATAGAATTGACCTGGATCATAAAGAGGTAACCTCCTACCCAGTCATCAGCTTAGATCGTGAGTAATGATCTTCTGAATGCACTTGGAGTGAAATAAAGATATTTGAATCTCTTAAAGTGGCTGTGCATTTGATCACTCCTAGATGTTCAGTTCAGCTAGGCGGAGCGCCAGACAGGATAGGTAGCATATAAATGAATGATACATAAAGAACTTTCTACGAAAGTAATTATGTGCAGACCACACAGCAATGAGTGTAGAAGCTAAATGTCTAAAACCGCCAGCTCCTCCACCTTGGGGGGGGGGGGGGGGAGAAAGAGATTACTTTTCAGGGAAATGGGTTTTAGCATTTTCCTGAAAAACACTGCACAGAGATTTAATTAACAAGATGGGAAGACTGGAGGATACCGAAGGTCAAACAACTCGCGGAAGATCACACAGCATGTCTGTGACACAGCCAGAATCCAGAACACCGCCTAATCCATCAGAACAGAATGACCACAAGCCGATCTGGGTGGGAGGGAGTAATGATAATCATTTATGAACATATCCTCAGGAGAGAGAAAAATTAATAGAGACATGAAGCAGAATCTAATTCTGATATTCCGTGAGACGGACAAAAAAGAGAGAGGGAAACAAGGCAGTGTGATATTGCTGTCTCTGGGTTGGTGGTGAAATCCACCAAGCAGGGAACATCCCTGGAAAGCGCTCTGGCAGAACAGTGCCAACAACAATACCGACAGGAAACTGGAAGGAGGCACAAGCAACCGGCTGAACCACAAAACTATAAATCTCCAGGGGAGGAATTCTGCATTTTGTGTCTGATTTAAACTTCTGCTCTTCAATACGTCTTGTCCAGCCCTCTTCCTTCTATTGCAGCTGGGCAAAAAAAAAAAAAAATGTTTCCAAGCCACAGAGAAGCAGCACAGAAAGTCAGGAGGGGGTTCAATTCACCTTACCCAGGAGCTCCTTTCACAGACTTCCCCATGCCTGACCTGACTTTGTATGCAGATGGGGGAGAAAAGTGAATACAGAACCTAGGACTGACCCATCCGGTCTAGCTTGGCCTCCAGAGATGATTTCCCCAGCCAGCTTCATCAAGCTCATGGTGCAGGCAAGAGGAAAACAACTTATCTTTGGCACCTGCACAGTGCTCTGTAACAGTGAAGGAAACACCATCTTGTACTTTCCCAAGCATCATTACCTACCTCTTCGTTTGCTTAACTCCCACTTTCCTCTGCTCCCCTTTCTACCTTCCAAATTCTCTTACTCTATCTTCTGGGCATCTACATTAGTTTGCACAAACACACAAATGGTAGTCAGTTTTCTCCTAATCTACTCTAAAATCTTGTGTAAGAGGACACTGCAGAACCTGAGCCTCACGTCAGTACCAGCTGTATCCCAAATGGTGTGGAACTTGACATTCTGTGTGCTTCACTCTGCTAGCAGAGACCTAAAACCGTACTGGCAGTAGTTACGCGAAGTAGAAAGAGATAGCCCGGGTCCCTCTAACTTTTCAACCTGCAAGCTGCTACATGGATTCATCTTTGCCTTGCAAAATATAAAAGAGAACATTCATTGTGGCCATAGACAAAAGCACAGCTCCATGCAAGTTTAGCTGAATAACATTTGCTCCTAAGAAATGCCTTGGAAGTTGAGAGGCTTGTGACATGTTTGCACATGTGGAATATTCAAAATCAAATCCAGGAGTCATTTGGTGGACCAAATTAAGACTAGATTTTAGAGGATCAGCTCTTATGGAAGACAGGCCCAGTTGTGTAGTGTGGAATCTGCAAGGGCTGGTAAGGGGCACCTCAGTTTCTCCCGTATCCATTTGCCCACACCACTTTCTCTTTTCCCTCCTCCTGGCAGCCCCCATATCCTCACCCTTCCCTGTTCTTCTTCTCATACATCAGCCAACCTACTTTTTATCTGCCCTCCATCTTCAGCTACATTTATGTATTAGATTTACATTTCACCTTTCTCCACAATATGGACCCAAAGCAGCTTACATCATTCTCTTCCATCTTATCCTCACAAAAACCACATGAGGCAGGTTAGGATGACAGAGTGTGTGACTGCCTCAAGGTCACCCAGCTAAGGTTCCATGGCAGGGTGGGGATCTCAACCTGGGTCTCTGGATCCTAGTCTGAAACTGTAGCCACTGTGCCACATGATGTGTGGGGCAGCTGCTGCTGAACAGTAGCAAGCAGCTGAGCCTGGATGAGTCATACAATTCACTTGACAGCAAGACATCTGATGGCTGCTGTCGGGCCTGGCCCCATGATTCCTCTCTCAAAGGCTGAAAGAGCCCTGGAAAGGGTCCTGCCCCCTTTCCCTGCCTTTTACTGACAGACACCAAGGCTGGCAATACTGTTATGGTTGCCTCATTTCTTAAAGCTCCAGACACCACCGCCATGATTTTCGGAGTGTTTAATCCTCCAGTAATATTTGTTTTTTTAAGTTCACATTTTCCTGCAAACGTGGGACTTTTCTCAGGATTGCAGAAAGATCAGACTTTTCAGTTCATGGCTCCAATCTCTGGATTTAAGTATCCACAATCCTGGCTGGTGGAGAATTAGATATACTGAAATTTTGTACATAAAACTTCTAACCCCACTCTTACATGGCGCTCCCCGTGTAACAAAAGGATCAGATCCATATCTGCTTAGCTTCAGCAGCTTGGCAACATCATGAGTGCCCAGACCACTCACTGGGCCTGCCTCATAGTCTTTTCTGTTAGTACAGAGGGGGGAAAAAGTACTTGAGCTGTGGTGGCTCAAGTGGTTAAGACGTTGAACTGCAGGCTGTGGAAGGTCAGTAGTTCTACAGTTCGAGACCCGGGTGCCACATGATGGAGTGAGCTCCCATCTCTAGTTCCAGCTCCTGCCAACCTAGCAGTTCGAAAGCAAGAAATTGCAAGTAGATAAATAGGTACCACTTCGGTGGGAAGGTAACAGCATTCCGTGTGCCTTGGCGTCTAGTCATGCTGGCCACATGACCACGGAAACATCTTCAGACAGCGCTGGCTCTTCGGCTTTGAAACGGAGATGAGCACTGCAACCCCAGAGTCGGATTCGACTGGCTTTCAAGCAAGGGAAACCTTTACCTTTACACAATATTAGACTCAACAATTTACCCCAAGTCGTTTTACCCAACTGAGAACTGATACTCATATAAACCTGTCACCTCGGCTGCTGCCATAGCTGCTGGAGGAGGGAGGTGATGTATGGGTCTGTTGCTATAATGGAATCTTAACTTTCGCTTTTCCAGGCTCATCTTATCTGCTCACCTAAGCTGGTGACCTTAGTACCTTGTTGCTGCTTTCTCTGAGAATATAGACCTGTTAGGTTAGGCGGAGGAGCTGCGGTGGCTCAGGTGGTTAAGATGCTGAACTGCAGGCCGTGGAAGGTCAGTAGTTCAGCAATTCGAGACCCAAGTTGCCGCATGACGGAGTGAGCTCCCGTCTCTGGCCCCAGCTCCTGCCAACCTAGCAGTTCAAAAGCAAGAAACTGCAAGTAGATAAATAGGTACCACTTCGGTGGGAAGGTAACAGCATTCTGTGCGCCTTGGTGTTTAGTCATGCTGGCCACATGACCACGGAAACATCTTCGGACAGCGCTGGCTCTTCGGCTTTGAAACGGAGATGAGCACCGCAACCCTAGAGTCGGACTCGACTGGCTTTCGAGCAAGGGAACCTTTACCTTTATGTTAGGCGGGCTTTTTGCTAGTTCCCTGACTGGCCCAGGTCCTTTTGAATTATGTATAACTCCCCATTTCGTGCGCTTGCCATCAGTACTAACACAGAATGTGAGCACAGATGACCTGCCTTTACTGTATTCAATAAACTTCACTCTTTTGAATGGGAGTTGTTGGACACTGATTGCGGCAGGACTCTGACACCTTTTATAATGCAGCCAGGTACACATCTGAATACACTCAAACCCAGTGGCTCAAGGGGGCAGAGAGCACACTTAATATGAATTTTTATGACTGGATAGGTTCATTCTCATTCTTTTTCACGTGTGTACACAGACACATGCTGCTTTAATTCTAAGCAAGAGTGGCCTCAAAAATGACAGCCAGGCTTCAGTGACATTCAGTAGTGCCCTGTAATTTGACAGGTAGATGTGCCATGGTAGAAGAAAGCTTTGCTTTAAGCAGCAATACACTCAGAGGACCACAGAGTCAGAGCAGAGTGCATAGAACTGGAAGCTGGAAGGGGCCACACAGGCCATCTAGTCCAACCCCCTGCTCAACACAGAACCAGCCTAGAGCATCCCTAGTGACAAGTGTTTGTGCAGCCACTGCTTAAAGACTGCCAGGGAGGGGGAGCTCACCACCTCCCTAGTGGAGTGGGTGCGGAGGCCTGATCCTACTGTCAGAGAATAACCAGGCTGCCTCAACAGTCTTCTCCAAACAGCTTGACCTCACTGCCGATTGGTTGTCCTTGTGTAAAGTGAGGAGTGCCCTGTCTTGTTTGTTGCGTCGGGGACGCTTCTATTGTCAAGATCACAGGCAGCAAATAATCGCCGAGTATCTGTAAATGGTATAGATTATATAGACTGAAGCACCAGTTTTTACTGTATTTAAAAAACGTATTTTATTGTTTTAGTATTTGTATGCTGTTAGCCGCCCTGAGCCACTGGGTAGGGCGGGATAGAAATCCCATAATAAATAAATAAAATAAATGAGGCTCAAGATGGCTAGCTGTACAAGGGCAACTTATTGTACTGCCTGCTAGCCTGTCCCTTTCCTGCAGCTGCACACGCTGTCTCTGCACTGTAGGCAATAACCCTTTATTTGCGTTCCTATGAAGGCTAGCTCACCAGGGAACACGCATGCCAAAAATTCAGTAGCCTCTTTCGCATACTAAGCATACCGTACCTTCATAGAAGTGTTATAAAATGAAATGAATGAAGTGAAGAGATCCAGATAACGAGTAGTGAAGACCAGTGCAAAGAGAAGCTGGCTTTTCCCAGATATACCTAAAGAAAGAAAATAAGTATGAGGAAAGGTCTTCACAAAACTCAAAGTGTCAAAAATCCCCTTGATCCAAAAGACGGAGCCATCCGGATTCCCTCGATGCCCACTGAATGGGATCCATGCAAAAAGGAGTTCATTTGCATAAGCTTGTAGAACCCTATAAGTTTCAATACCCCAATTAGATTATCTCTGCTTTTTGTTAATTCATTAATTTTTATTAAACAGGATACTGGACTAGATGGACCACCAGTCTGAGCCAGCAGGGCTGTTCTGCTGTTCTTATTCAGAGACAACTACTAGAAAGCACCACAGAGAACAAAACGGCAGGATAAATCATACATTCTTTGACTAACAGCCAAGAAAAGATACACACTTATTAAGAAGAAAAGATTGGATTTATTCCCTGCCCTTCACTACCCAAGGGAGTCTCAGAGCGGCTTACAAACTCCTTTCCCTTCCCCACAACAGCCTATGAGGAAGGTGGGGCTGAGAGAGCTCTGACAGAAACTGCTCTTTTTTGAGAACAGCTCTGCCAGAACTATGGCTTGCCCAAGGTCATCCAACAGGTGCAAGTGGAGGAGTGGGAAATCAAAATTTAAAAAAAATAAAAGCAGTCAGGATGGCAACTGAAAAGCAGTGGACATAACAGAATAGCTGGAGCTACACAGACTCATGGGATTTCAGTAGAAAAGAGTAAGAATCCAGTTGCACCTTAAAGACTAACAAAATTTGTGGCAGTGTATGAGCTTTCCTGAGTCACTGCTCACTTCTCAGAAGAAATGAGCAGTGACTCATGAAAGCTCATACCCTAGCACAAATCATGTTAGTCTTTAAGGTGCTACTGGACTCTTATTCTTTTCTACTGCTTCAGACAGACTTACATGGCCACCCATCTCAATCTATCTTCATGGGATTTCAGCCATTCAGGAAGACTCCCTCTCATTGCAGGCAAAATACACCTGATCACGAGAATCTCCAGTGCTGCTGTCTGAACAGAGTTACACCCTTCTAAGCAAACTGAAGGTTGCAACTCTACTCAGGATGCTATTGTTCACGACGATGCATGTAGTGTACTGAGGTATCACATATCCCTGATTATTAGCTCTGTCCCATACAGCTCAATGCAAACAAAGCACCCAAGCATGTGATGTTGTATATTTCAGCATGCTATTAAAAAAAAAAACAGGCAGACACTGCTTCACTAAGCCTAGGTATTCGAAGTTATTAGTTTCAATGGATGAAAGTAGAACAGCACATAGCTCAATCACAAGAATCTAACTAAAAGGAGGTTATTTACAGAGGTTATTACACCAAGTCCCAGAATTCCTCCAGTTGTGGTGGACAAAGAGCCGTTTTTATGGGAGTCCACAGAGTGTGAAGCAATCCTATAAGGTGGATGACCTTGAGGCTGATGGCTTTTAGATCAGATACTTCTGTCCCAGAGGGCTTTGGAGTAAACTGATTAATGAGGCATCGGATGCTGACCTTTAGGTGATTCCTTTTACTAATTTCTCTGTTGGACACTACTACTTATTTACTGGCCGCTGCACAGTCTTTTCTGTTGTTTTTCATTGAAAATATTGCTTCATGCTAGTTTGAATGTCAACCTGGGGGCCTTTCCAGGTTAAAAGGCAGGGAAGAAGTACTTGGAAGTCTGTGTCACAGCAACAGACTTGCCCTAAAGAGAGCTGGTTTGGTGTAGTGGTTAAGAGCAGCGGACTCTAATCTGGAGAACGGGGTTTGATTCCCCACTCTGCCACATGCAGCCAGTTGGGTGACCTTGGGTCAGTCACAGTTCTCTCAGAGCTCTCTCAGCCCTATCTACCTCACAGGGTGTCTGTTGTGGGAAGAGGAAGGGAAGGAGACTGTAAGCCACTCTGAGACTCCGAGTGAAGGGCAGGTTATAAATCCAATCTCTTCTCTTCTTCTAAATCTCCATTTTTAAAGTAATCCCTAAACCCATTGGCATCCTGTTGCAGATCACAATCAGCTGGCAGGGAGGGGGAAGGCTTGGAGTAGAAAGCCCACCCCCTTCCTCAAAAGTCCCACTGAGTTCAGCGGAGCTTACTCACAGGTAAACATGCACAGGATTGGGCTGGAAGGATGTTAGTTCTATTAAATTCACAGCTTACCCTAGCAAACAGCAGTTCTTATCTACTCTGCATGCAAGGATTCTCACTGATTTCTCAAACTCCCAATTACTTTATCTACAATAACTGGACTCTGCAGCTTTAAAAATTCGCTCCAGTAAAATACCACATGATTAGTCAACTGTGATTGATCCCTCTTGCCACAAGATTGCATTCCCTTCTCTTTCTAGTGCATACTGTTTATCAGGCACTGAGCTTAAACATAGGAATGAAAATAAAAAATAACCACCACAGTACCAGATTAATACAAAGTTCAGACATAAAAAGCCAGCTCAACATCAGATTATTCATGTAGGATAAGCAGAGGAAGCTGCACTCTGTAAAATGTCTGGCATGCAGCTAGAAGGTGCTTCTGGACTCTGCACTGTACTTGCACGAACAAGTGTTGATCATTCCCAAAAGCCTTTTCCCAAAGCGGACTGTGTCACAATTACAGATGCCTTAGTAGCATCCAAACTTGACTTCTGCGATGTGCTTTATAATGGCGGCCCTTGAAGATTGCTCAGAAACAACAACTGGTACAAGCTCACAACCTTGCTGGAATGCACTGCTGTGACCATTTTATCCAGTGCTGTGCCACACTGGCTTCCAAATTGTTTTCAGGGCCCCAATACATTGTGCTGGCTTTGACCTTTAAACCCTGAACAGCTTGGATCATGAGAACCTGAAGGACTGCCTCCAACTTTACTGCCAGTCCAAGACAGGAGAGCCACATGTGGCATCTTCCTCAGCCTTAAGACAACTTGGACGGCCAGGTTCTGAGGCAGGGCCTTTTCTGCTGCTGCCCAACACCTATGGAATGTGCTCTCCCAGGAGCTGAGAGTGACCACGTGATCCCCCCCCCACATCCAAACTGATGTAAGACCTACCTCCTCCTGAAAGCCTTTGACTTACAAGTGAGAGTTCATTACCACTCGGAGTGTTTGTCAGAAAAGTGGTATATAAATATTTCACATAAACAAATGGTGGGCTATACTAAAATGCTTATGGTAGGGGGACAGCTGGTCCTATTTACTGTTTGAACGATTTCTAATTTTATGGTCTTTGGTTATAAATCGTACCATGATCACAAGAATGTTCTCAAAACAAAAGGTAGTCTAGACATATACCAAATAGGATTTTTTTTAAAAATCACTTGCTGGCTTTAAACAAATATATTAAATTGCAGCACAGAAGCTGCAGAACAGCACGCGTTCCTTCCTCAAGGTAATTCTGACACAAACAACACTCCTGGCATAAAAGACTTCCCAAAACAGAACTAGCCGAGCCATGAGAAATATTCTTTGCAACTAAGACGCCGGCACAAAAGATAGAGCAAGAATATAACTGACATCTCTCTCCCAGGCAACTCCGTTCGTTCGCCACACCTTCCTTTAGCTGCCACGTCAGACTAGGCCAGGAATCCCAATTGAGAGCCTATTCTCTTCAGCCTTGATTCAGTCATTTGCTCCCAATTTTCAACTGCGCTTGGCAATGCAAGTAAGAAAGTTCTGCCAAGGGCTCAAAAATCCTGCTGGGTCACCGCTTAACCCTTTTAAAGGAAGAGAAATATAATAACGGCAAACGACCGTGACCAAATCTAAAAGCAAAAGAAGTTCCAGCACCCAAAGAGCATGACTTTTAGTTTGCAACAACTGTCGTTTTGCATGAAAAGCTGATCTCTGCACAACACCTTCTGTTAGATGAAGCATAGTGTATTTGGGAAAGGGGGGGAGTGAAACCGCAGTTTCAGGTATTTCAGAACTATATTTTATTTCTTGTCCACAGCAATTCCTTTACACCCCCCCTCCCCAATCTCTAGGAAAAGCTGTAGTCTGTAGAAAGCAATTCCCTTTTGCTCACCTGTAAGTTAATTCATATCACCTTCATAAAGAATGTGTAGAAAAATGTTTCATGCTTCCTGCAGTGCCATTAGAGCAGACACATAACTCTGCCTGTGCTGCACCAGGAAATTCCTCCCAATGCATCTCCACAGTTACACCACATTGCTGGGCTCTTTTTTGACGGCAGGAAGGAAGACTAACTTATTTGACCTATACACGCCTCATTACTGAGGAGTGAGAATGCCTAGATTCTGACCTTTTCCCAAGCCTCCAAATTGTCTCGGCTTCAATTGCACCTGCATTATACAATCCCTCTGTATATATGTCACTAAATTACTAAAAATATATTTCTCCACCCCACGGAATCCTCTTCTCTTACAGCACCACGGAGAAAGAGCGACCTAGGTTGCGTAAATCCTTTTAAAAAAATAAATGTTACAAGACCGTGATTCAAAATGAACTTTGAAAGTGCCTCACACATGAAGCCTTAGGAATGCCTTTTCTTCAAATCAGTCCCCAGTCCCCCCAAAGGACTGCACCTCCTCCAAAGAGAATGGCCTAGGGGAGCCCTACAAATCCCTCTAACATCAGATTCAACCTCCTGGCCATTCAACTGTTATTTTTTTTAAGCAGCACATCAGAGCTGACCCTGAGAACAAAGCATCACACCTGCTTTTTAAGCAGAGGAAACATCTAGGACAGCTTGAGGAATACCCTCTCCCAAATCAGCACCCCCAAACCCACCCTACACATAAAATTGTGTCCCTGATGCTTCAAAAGTGACATCACTCCTCCTCACAAGGAAACAGAGAGCAGACTGAGAAATGCCTCTGCAACATCCAGCCCCACTAGCAAGAATGGAGCCCCAAACAGAGGGCTCTGTTCCCCCCAATAACCCCTGAAGGTTCAAAGGAAACACCACACTGCCTTTCAAGACCAGGGATGCCCCCCCAAAACCAGACCTCTCCCACAGGGCTGTAACCCTCCCTCATAACCTCAGATGCTTCAATGGCAATACCATTTCACCTTGCAAGAACACAGGGCAAACCTGCCCCACCAGCCCTCCAAAACTTCAGAAGTTACCACTGCTGCTTTAAGAATACAGTGAACAGGTCAGAACTAGAAATACCTCCCTCTCCTGCAAGACCAGTACAAAAGGCTCCCGCACCACACAAAATCTCAGATGCTTCAAAACTAACACCACCAATGCTCCCTCTAAGCTGTGTAGTCTTCTGAGCAAAGATTCTACTTTGTGAGCTACTGGCATTAAAGCTGTGAGTGAGCAATTTGGCTGCTGCCGAAATTAGTTTGATCAGGAGCCATCCTCCTTGAGCGATGACAGAAAACGTGTGAGCCAGAGGCTAAAAGACTGAGCTAGCTCACACCAACTCAGCTTAGAGGGAACACTGAACACCACTCCATGGTGGGAAAGAGCCACACAAGAGCTAAGTCCCCTGCCACATAATACCAGGAGGGGCTTTGCAGAAAACATCACCCCCACCTTTCCAAAACACAGGGCCAGCTTAGAAATACCAGCCCACCCAACCACCCCCTCCAGAAGGTCCTAACCCCCCCCCCATAGCCCCTAAAAGCTTGAAAAGGCACCATCACCCCACTGAGTTAAGCATATGGGGCGCAGGTCACAACCTTAACAATAACTCCCCCCCAAAATATATATATATATATCTCAGATGCTTCAAAACTGACACCAGCTTTGTGATGTTGTGGAATAAACCACCAGTACCCCCCTCCCCCCCAAGAGATGAGTCCCCCAGACACAGAGACCCCC